TTCCTTTAATAAGACATTAAATACAACAAAAGAGACAAAAGAATTGTTAAATTTTACAGAAAAATTATATATTGCAGAAATTCATTTTATATATTTATTTATTCTTTAATATGTTACAGTAATATATTATATAAGTGTTGCACTGTATCAAAAGTTTAGTAATAAATGTATTTAACTTGAAGCATCTAGTTTTGTTACATTTATTTTACACATTACATGTACAATAACATGTATTTCAAAGAAGCTCCTGTATTTGAGATTTTTTTAAAGGACTTAAGTCTACTAAGAAGGTAACTTAAGTTTAGTCTGAGTTTGAGTAAGAAAAAGAACTTAAGTTTTTTCGAGAAATGCAATATTTTGAGTTTTCTCAAATATGAGATTTTTCTCAGAAATTTGAGTAAAAACTCAGACTTAAGTCTGAGATTTAACTTAAGATTTTTTCAAGAAATCCAAGCCAGATGAAAATCGATAAATTCCTAATAAATCTTCAAAACATTTAACAAAATAAACTTTTTTAAAAAATCAATAAATTGAGAAGAAGTACAATGTATTCAAAAATTCTTATTTTTTTCAAGATTAAAGGGAAAAATTGTGTACTTGAAATACCTGTAGTAATAATGGTTTATTACTTTATTTTTTCCACTTACACCGGTCCAAAAAGATCATGTTTTTTTTTATACTTGAATGTCAAATCTGACCGTTGATCGGGTTGGTTTGATAGATTATACCATCCTTTTCTAATATAATAGGGGGTACCTTTTTAGCTAAAAGTCTACTCTGCTCTTTCTTTCTTTTTCTTTCTTTTTTTTTTTTTTTGCCAAACAGATAACATAACACAGAGTTAATTGCCGAAAAAGAGCATTTACATGTATTATCGAAAATGCCCAAAATATTCCCTATCGTCAAAGTGCATATGATACTCGTAAAAAAAATCTAAGGCACAAAATAGGACAGTAGACTTCATGTAAAAAAAAATATCTCATTAAATGTACACAGAGATAAATGTGTTATACACACTGCAAATACTGACATAGAAATGAGAATTGTACACTATATAGTATATCGGCCTAAGATTCTTTTTATATTCCTATATGTAAATGTTTGATACCCTATTGTGGCCCCTCCGGGGACCCTGATTTCAACATTAACTTAAATTTGCACTTTCTGGAGTTGATTGCAAGTGCATCAATTTAATACATCTTTACCCTGTTCTTCTCGAGAAGATTTAAAACGCTTTCCTTTAAATATTCCCACGATACCTTCAGCATTATATCGTAAAATTTCCTTATTTTTTGAGCACTTCATTACGAAAGCCGGATAGGCTCATTTCTACGGAAACGTATAACCGCCTCGTGTTGTTGTATTAGAATGCGATATTATGATATAAAAATGTCGTCAAATACAATAACTTTTAGGTTTGGCGATTTAATTATGACGACAATCTCTGGTGAATAATACTTTTCTGATATGTTTTAAACGACTTATACACTCTGATATATCCAAGTTGAATTCCTAAATGTCGCACATAAAATAATGTGTAAACATTATGCCGCTTAAATAAAATATCGCAGACATTAATGCAATATAACATACTAGTCTAGTATATGAAGACTTCGCTTAGACGACTCGATTTAATCAAAGAGAAAAATTTAACAAAATTCGAACGACTTGTAGCATCAGATTTATACCAGATACAAAATTTTATCAGTCCAATTTGGGCTACTGGAGGAGAAAAAACAGATTTACAAACAAAAGGAGGAGGAGGATCCAATTGATAGAACAAACATGATCTTACATATGATGAGACTCAGAGCAATTGATAAAAACGAAGAGATATACTGAATATACATGTATATTCAGTATATGTTATAATTACATTACACATGTAGTCAAGGGCAAGCAACTGGGAAAAAAGTACATATATGCACATCAAAATATCTTCAATTAAGGTAGATTACGAAGGAATCTAGCAAGTGATCTAAGGATGTAATTAAGGGTCTTCATTAGTCATGAGTCAATCAAATTGATTATCATAAGATTAAGACTGAACAATTCTACATTTAATTTTACAAACATTTATGAAATCAAGTCTTTGTACATTAAGAGGCAGAGGACAGACAAGGAAAAAATGAATTTCATCCTAAATATATAACGTATTGCACTGAACTGATGTCTGATTTAAATAAAATAATTAAAATAGTTATAGGATATCTTGCAGACTCTTCCCTAAATGATAAATCTTATGAATGCTGCTTTAACGGACAGTTACTGTATCTGGTAATACTTGTCCACTATTCAATGCAAACTATGAAAACGATATCTTTAATTATGTTCTTAGATTGGAGAACATATACAGACATATAAGCATCAACTATTTTCGTTTGATGTGATGCCATGCATTAAATATGACCTCAAAATATTATAAATTCAAAATTTCAAGAAAGTTATGTTTGATTTCTTTGATAATTCAATTGGAAAAAATCGAGCACACGTCGGCACATACTCTATCATATAATAATATTTTAACATTATGTGTAGATTGATAAAATGATATAGTTATTTGCATTTTGTCCTCTTTCATTTAAAGATAACACACAAGCTCATTAGTTAGTGCTGTCACAGACACAATTTGTTTTCCCTAATCAAGTTTTGATTTATTTGGTAAATTCAGATTCATGTTATAATTTATACAATCATATATATTCTATGAAGTTGCTCTTTGAGCTCATTTAAAAAGCATATTCATAAATAAGTACAAATTGCAAGTTTCTTTTTGTTTATTCTGAGAAAAAAGATTGCATGAAATTTTAGAGTTTTATTTTTAAAAATCTTTTTTTTTTTTCAAAATAATCTATTTCGGAGAATGAAAATCAGGCACGTAGCTACGGTTTTCAAAGAGTGTCCCGAGTCCTTAGAAAAGCACACACTCAGAAAAAGAGGAAACCATTGTCTAAACATGCACTACGGGCCTGCAAGTAGTGCTATAACAATTTGAATTATTCTATTTAAATCAGACATCGATGCAATGCAATACGTTATATCAATAAATCTGATGTTTCAAGTCGTTCGACTTTTGCTGAATTTCCTCTTTGATTAAATCTTGTCGTCTTCGCGAAGTCTTCATATATGTTATATTGCACTAATGTCTGCGATATTTAATTTTAGCGGCTTAATTTTTATACATTATTTAAGTGCGACATTTAGTAATTCAACTTGGATATATCAAAGTGTATAAGTCGTCTAAAACATAGCAGAAAAGTATTATTCATCAAAGAAAGTCGTCATAATTAAATCGCAAAACCTTGAAGTATTTGTATTCGACAACATTTTTATATCATACTATCGCGTTCTGAAACAACAACACGAGGCGGTTATACGTTTCCGTACGTTTCCGTACGTTTCCGTAATTAAACCATTTCGCAAATTAAATTTGCAACTTTTTATCAGTTTTAAAGTTAAGTACGACTAATAATTATCAACTAAACTTCAATGACATTAAAACTACAGCCAATTTTAAATCCTATATTGCCATTAAATTTGAAAATAAAGGGGAAACTTATTATTTCGTTATAACGAGAAAACTAACTCGTTAAAACGAGATAATTAACTCGTAATAACGAGAAAACTAACTTGTTATAACGAGATAACTAACTCGTTATAACGAGATAACTAACTCGTTATAACGAGATAACTAATTCGTAATAAAGAGATAATTAACTCGTTATAACGAGAAAACTAATTCATTATAACGAGATAATCAACTCGTTATAACGAGATAATTAACTCGTTATAACGAGATAACTAACTCGTTATAACGAGATAATTAACTCGTTATAACGAGAAAACTAACTCGTTATAACGAGATAATTAACTCGTTATAACGAGAAAACTAACGAGAAAACTAACTCGTTATAACGAAATAAGTAATTCGTTATAACGAGATAAAACTAAGTCGTTATAACGAGATAATCAACTCGTTATAATGAGATAATTAACTCGTTATAACGAGATACTAACTCGTTATAACGAGATAACTAAGTCGTTTTAACGAGATAATTAACTCGTTATAACGAGTTAAATATGTTTTTTTCTTTTCAGAAATGAGCCTATCCGGCTTTCGTACTTCATACACTTGTCACCTGTATATTTAGTTTATATCTCCAAGTTACTAGTAATTAGATGTGCAAAAGCATGTTCTACGTACGTTAATATAAAATAAATCTGTTTTGAAAGAATATTAATCTATCAGTTTCACTCTTGCCATCAGCGCAGGGTAATGCTCTACTAGTACTTGGAATTTGAACTCCATCAGCCTTTTGAGTAAGGTCCTGGGTTGAATTGTTTCACTGTCGAGGAAATAACACAGAAATATTTCATATATTAATTGAATCTGGAAAATAAATCTTTGTTAAGTATATTTTGTCTTCAAAACTGCAAATTGAAGTACTAGTAGAACTTTCAACTTGCGATTTGTTATCTTTTTTTTGTTCTGTACACAGTTTCAAAAGAAGGATACTTAAAGATGCTCATATTTGACAGTCGATTTGATGCGTTTAAACAATCTTAATTTGTATTGATCAGTATTTATAAATTATTATTTTGAGGTACTTAATGCTTATCAATGCAATGTTGTTGCTGATATAATATTTTACACGTTTTGGGATTTCATCCACTCAATGTCAAGGGGTTTTGTGATTTCTGAACTCCACACAATCGCAGTCACAACTATTGACAGTGTAAGGATGGCTGTATTAAGGAAGACACCGTTTCATATGTTTCCACTGAAGTGCTAAAATATGCACTATGCATTCAATAGCAATGTAAAAAGGTGTTTTTGAAAATAAATGTTCTGTTGTTTCCCTTGAAAAAGGGAGAGTGCATGCATGTTTAGATTAATTTATTATTCAGCAACCCCAAGGCATAGAAGATATGAAAGGATTGTCTGACGTCTTTTATGCATGGCTACACATGGTTACTATGAAATGTATAAATGGAACATTCTTAAAGGTGAATCTATGTAGAGCAATTTTAGCTCATGCTTGGTGTTTGAAATGAAGGATGAGGGAAAGATGCCAAAAGACAGCTGTTCTGAAACGAAATTGGATGAGAATTACATGTAAGTAAATATGTTATATAGGTGACGGTTTTATGTATAAGTTGTTATTAAAAGACAATGCGTAACTTAACACGATTAATGCATGTTCCATTCTAATTTTAAGTTAAAATATTTTTTAGCATGTCTAAAACAAAACTCTCCATGATCTTATAGTAATTCGCGGAGTGTTGTGTCTCGATGGCCACAGCGCTCACTTGATCCGTCTGTTCTTCAGAAGGATATTTATTTAAATTACTTACCTTTATATTTCTATGATTCCAAAAAATGATTTGTTCTGATTTATTTCTTAGAAACACGATAATCCCATGATGTAGCCCCACCTTACTATTGGAAGCCCTGAGATGCATCCTCTGTCTGAAATTTCTTGCATATGACTTATTGTGGCCTTGATTTTCTAGATTGTCCCCTAATGTAAAACAAAGCTAAAAAAAAACCTTCAGTTGTCTTATCTTATTCACTGTGGCCATGATTTGAAAACTACACTTTCTTGGGATCGATGATTTTATGTTAATTTGAGTTATGCTGTTTTATATAATTTTTTTTTTTTTAAATCAGTGAACAACTTTTTTGTGTTCTTTTGACACTCACCAAAACCCGGGGATCCCATTTGAAACGAATTCCCCATACTTGAGAATACTTGCAAATTATTGACTTTGCAGTCTTACAAATGTAATTATAGCAATTAATTAAATACTTAAGAAATGAGGCTTATTTCAACTTATGTTATACGAAATAACTTAGGGCAGTTTACGCTTTATTAACCGAGAAGCATATTTTTGTTTTCATATAAAGCAGACTTTTTGCAAAATATGCGTGAGAAGAAGAAAATACTTTCTGTACACGTGGTCTTCAGCTCGACATTTAGTTATTTCGTGACATTGGACCAAGACAATAACAGAAACAAACTTGATCAGATTAACCCCAGTAAAAGGTTTACGAAGTCTGAAAATACAGTCAATAAAAAGAAGACTTTATTTGTTTTGGCGTGCTTGTCATGGCCATTTAATAATAAATTAGATATAACACAATGTATGCGCCGATCATTATGATTATATGGCAGCATAGGTAAATGAATATAGATGATGAGCAAGAGAAATACCACCTTGATCCAAGGAGTCTGGAAAAAACAGTACCCCCCGGAGACAGCATTCTTTGCAAAATTATGCCTAACAAAGTCAATAGCCACACGCAACTGGAACATTGAAGGTCCGCAAGGCACATCAACATCGAAGGTCCGCAAAGCACATCAACCAGCTGGTGGATCCTATTCAAGATTCGATCCATGCCATGACGCTGAAACGAGAAATTAAAAGAAAACGAAAAAACAACCGGAAAAAAACAGTTGTAATGAAAATGCATTAGAAGAATGGCAGAGGTGCTAAAGGGGGATAAAATATAAAATTAAGGGGAGGGAGGGTGGGTTTTAAAAAATCTTTGCGTCTGCTTCGTTCAATTTACAGATTCAAAAGGAATATTCTAGAAGACATGCGCATACAAGAAATATCAAGAATTTTTGAAGCACCGAGCCCGATGATTTATGACGTTCAATGTTAAGAAACTAAGAGTTATCTATCTTTGCATGTAAAACATTAAGCTGCACGAAATAACCAGGTTTATCCATATTGGATAAACCCCATTATTTCGTGACATTGGACCAAGACAATAACAGAAACAAACTTGATCAGATTAACCCCAGTAAAAGGTTTACGAAGTCTGAAAATACAGTCAATAAAAAGAAGACTTTATTTGTTTTGGCGTGCTTGTCATGGCCATTTAATAATAAATTAGATATAACACAATGTATGCGCCGATCATTATGATTATATGGCAGCATAGGTAAATGAATATAGATGATGAGCAAGAGAAATACCACCTTGATCCAAGGAGTCTGGAAAAAACAGTACCCCCCGGAGACAGCATTCTTTGCAAAATTATGCCAAATGGGTCAAGGGACAAAGTCACGTGACCCATCCGCCACAAACTAAAATTGGGGCGGCAATTTTGCGGCCCAAAGTAACAACAGCACAAATCGTGCACAAATTAGGTACAAATCGTACCAAAATATATGTATTAAGCCAAATGGGTCAAGGGACATAGTCGCATGACCCATCCGTCTCAAACTAAAATTGGCACCCAGATCAACAATAAAAGCACAAATCGTGCACAAATTAGGTACAAATCGCACCAAATAACCAAATTGGTAAGTGAAAGGCACAAATTGCGCCTTAAGATTGAAATTTGAAAATTAATGCAAATTGCATTGAAAATGATGAATGTGCAACTCGCACACAATGGGGCTCATGACAAGCATCGCAGAAATGTTCACAAAACAAAATTACACAATTGATATCATTTCTCAAAGTATAAATAAAATTCCCAAATCTGAAAAACTCCAGTATCTCCCTTGCAATGCGTCCTAATATGTGGATAACTGATTGATGCACCACGACCCTTAAACTTACTTACCACAAATGTAGCACATGCACTATTAATCCTATGTCTACACTTCTGTCATTCTAAATTTGCAAGGCAATTTATCAATTATTTTGAGGCAAAATATGTGACCATATAAGTAATAAAAGTTTGTGGGAATACTAAGTAAATGTCAAAGCAATATTTGAATTGCAAAGTTGTGTCATAATATAAAACATATATATAAACAGAAGGTAAATTTACAACAATGGTCTTATGTAAGATTTGCAGGCTGCTGACTGTAGGGTTTTATCAATTTATCGATACGTATCAATATACAAGAAACATATCGTATCGAAAATTTACTTCCAATACGTATCGGACAGGCATTTTTTCTTCTAATTCTGTTAAAAAGATTGGAACTTCAATCACCAAAGATCATATTTCACTAATTAAATCTGTTAAATAATCATTCAATTTTTTAAGGCAATAACACAGTTTTTAGAATTATTACTAAAGCATAGACAATTTTAATTTAAAATGTTGATTTTACAGTCATTAAAAGTTTTGATTTGATAGTCATTAAAAGTTTTAATTTGAGGTGTAAGTTGTAATGACAATGAAACACTTAATTTTTATGAAATTCATACGTTAAATGATTTATAAGCCTTTTATGATTGACTTGTAATAGAATCCAATATATCGCATATATCTTTAAAAAAAAAAAATTATTGTATCGTATCTAATTTTTTTTTTTTCAATTTTGCTCAATACACAGCCCTGGCGCCCAACTGCCACCTTCCGATCTGCGTAATATTTTCCTCTGTAAACACTTTTGTATACAAGTGGGTTGCAACCCCAATGTGAAAAATCAGTACGTCTTAACTTCAGTTGACTGAATATTCAAAAACTGCAAAGCTTTGTTTAAAGTTTATACAATGTATAACGACCATATTTTGTACCTAAGAAATAAATAGTCCAATATTTTAAATCATGGTAGCAAAATATTTTGATTGATTAATTTTTATTGTTCTACGCCAAGTCGGCAATATTTTAGTCATAATTTGAAGATGTTGTCAAACAAAAATGTTCCAACAAGGAATTCACATGTTGATTACTAACCAATTAATTGCACCTTGATTTTAATATTAAAGTCTATGGACAGCGCATATGTGTTTGAAAGATATTTTAAGAAGTAATCTGAATTTCAAACTAATCCGAGTATTATCTCTTGATGAAAATATGCGTTTGTTTGTTTATTAAAATATGATATAAAGTGAATAATACCGAAGAAATTTAAATAAATAATTTTTTTTTTTTTTAATCAAGGCCAGGTAACTCTTAGAAACTTTCAATGTGCAAAATGACCGTCTCTGTACATGTTATTAGTCTAGCGAATTTTGGTTCATTTCACTTTTATCTTTATCTAAAATTGTCGAAAATCCCTTCATTATACATTGAATACCTTAAGATGGACGGAAACTGATATTGGGATAAGGGTTTTGAGTTTAAATGTGAAAATTGAGACGCCCTATCAATATTTGTACATAATACAGCAAAATTCTGCAAAGATTGAAACAATCATATTGTAATATTTTTCAAAATGCAAACATGTTCCCGAACCAGTTTGGCCAGTCTAAAATGTTGTAACAAAAAACTTGAATGGTATCACAAGAGACAATTATATGCTTGACACCCAAAGCCACTATTTTACTCACTTTTAGTAATGCAAAGAAAGCTCATGTAAAAGCAGACTTAAATAAAGCCGCTTCAAAATCATGTAAAAGCAAACTTAAATAAAGCAGCTTCAAAATCATGTAAAAGCAGACTTAAATAAAGCAGCTTCAAAATCAGAACACAAATCTGGCAAAACACTGACAATGTTATCCAACATAGGTAATATAATAGTTTATCCTGAGACGCATTAGTTACATCTCTTGTAACCAACCCATATCTTATTAATAATAAATGAATCGTTTGGATTCTGTCAACCATGCAAGTTGATGACAAAACTGATTCCTGATAAATAACATTTGACGGTAGAAAAGCCATAATACTCTGACATATATATGCTATAAAATTAATCATATGATCAAAAGGAGGGGACTAGATCTGCTGAAATGATACCTGTTGCCTGAAATTGAAAAAAGACTTTTGCTTTCTGTATTTTGAGATACACCAGTTTGAAGGAGACTGGCTACAGCTGGCTCCTAAATAGTTAGATGCAAAACTGAATAGGTACATGTACATGGAGGGAAAAGGTACTGTAATGAAACCTGGTCCACATAAACCGAGAAATAGTATATGGAATTTATTTATTATCATTATTTTATAATATACCTTGTATATGTTGCTTTTAAATGTACATTAAACTTAAAAAATCTGCATAACTAACATCCCGACTAATGCCATAATTCTTTTTTTGGATGATTTGTGATTAAATTGCTATAAACCAAAGAAAAATTGTCAATATGAAGTTGTTTTTTTTTTTTTTAAATTTAATTTAAACTTTCAGCCCAGATCATAATCCTTAGTACAACAGATACAAATTTTTAGGAAGGCGATATCCCTGCATTACTCCTCAGGCCAGTCAACCGGTCAATGTGGGCAAGACCAATGTTTACTAAACACCACACGTAACCATTGAACTATCTAAATAAAATTGAAGTGCATTAATTTTATAGATTATTCCTGCCATACACGACTAGGAAATGGTGTGACGTGTCCTACAATTAAAATTCCCAAGAAATAAAATTAATATTAATTACAAATCAATAAGTCTAGAATACCTTATTTTTATTTATTTATTTAATCATTTTGGGAGTCGTTTAGAAAAACAAAATATTGTTAAACGTTTAATTATTCGATTAATTCAATTATTAAAAAATTAATTCTATGTACATGTATAATTTAGTGTATATTTAAAGAAATTAAATGTTTAATATGTACATGTAATGGGACGATTTTTTTTTTTTTTTTTATTAACAAACCCCGATATTTTCATTGAAAATTATATAAAAATGGCATTACTAGATCACCGTAGAAAACATAACGAACGATGGAAATCCCAAATTATTACTATGTGAAGCCTAGATGGATAGTTTATAGACTATTTATGCAGGGTCTTGGTTTTTTAAAGCAAGTTTGTAATTCTGGTTTAAACCACGACGGATACACGTGCATTAGTCAATAGATTTAGGCAAATTCCCATATGTGCAGAAATACACAAAACACTCGATATTGGTTTTGGCAAATAGCAATGGTGGAAAAAAAGGTGTCATATTTTGTGAAAAACATGCATAGGGTTCCCTTGATAACAAATATGACGTCATTTGAATGTTGCATTGTATGGAAATTCGTAAAAATTAAAAATATGATAATTAATAAAAGGATTTGGGTCAAATTAAACTGTACCTCGATTATGTTGAGCTGGATTAGCAGGTAACAGGTAAACTAAGGAAGTTACAGTGACTCTGAGTCAGGTGCCTGCTCGACAATGGCGACATCATGTTCAGAACTGCATGAGTTTCTACAGCTAGGCCTTCTCTATGTTTTAGGTCTGGATACGGAACTAACTTCTTGTGATTTCTCTGAAATAAGGTCTTCTGGCCTTCGAAGCTCTTGATACACGTAACAAATTTACTTGTATTTGACAATAAATCAGCAGATGATGATCGATTAATTCTTTTAAAAAATCTTTGCGTCTGCTTCGTTCAATTTACAGATTCAAAAGGAATATTCTAGAAGACATGCGCATACAAGAAATATCAAGAATTTTTGAAGCACCGAGCCCGATGATTTATGACGTTCAATGTTAAGAAACTAAGAGTTATCTATCTTTGCATGTAAAACATTAAGCTGCACGAAATAACCAGGTTTATCCATATTGGATAAACCCCAATATATCCACGACGTATTGTCAATTAATAAAGGTAATTTCCATTCTTATGTCGATACGATACCAGTATCCTGGTGAGTTTGAAATAAAATATACCACAGAATCTACCACCCCTAGCTGTTTCATATTTGGATATTTTACTCGAAAAAGACGTTAATGGTAATCTAACAACAAAGCTCTATGATAAACGTGATGACTTCAACTTTTCAATTGTCAACATCCCTTACGAAGGCTGTCCAATAAATAATTATGTCCTCGGTTCTCATAAAGAAACAAAAAACGTTTTTCAATGATTTAGCCTTAATGATTTCACCTGAATATTCTCTTTTAATTAAAACACTTATCTGTAACATTTTTATTCAATATCTGATTGTTTTTAGAACACATTTTGAGTATGGCCCTTTGAATAGTGGAATATGACAGATCCTAGGATTTGAATTTTTTCCTTGACTTGTTTCTTCTTTCTGTAAGATTTTTCAAGTTTGGAAAAGGAAACAAGTCTAAGGATGAAAGATCTAGCGAATATTATTGGTGTGACAAATCATTAACTTTCTGTTTATCCCTTACTCTTCATGGAGTGTGGATTTGGACGCTGTCATGAAGAAATCTAATGTTGAGGATTTCTGATTCTGGATCCATTCTCTCATAAACCTTTCGATTTTTTTTTCAAACATTTCCTTTCTAGACTGAACTGCCTCCCCGAATAACAATTTGAACAACAAAATCACTAATATTTAAGAAAATGGCGTATAAAACTTTTTATGCTTTTGTAATCCTTTACTCTTCTCAGACTTTGGCTGTTTTTGCCAAGTGGATTTTATTGTAAATTTGTTTTGAGGGTTTAAAGCACTGGGTTCAAGTTTCACTATTTGTTTGAATTTCAGACAAACGTGGATATCTTCATTTTTTGTCCATATTTTTACCAAACATTTAGTGACCATTGAGTATTAAGTTTTTCACAGTCAAATGTTTCTTTAAAACAGTGTAAACTAGCCCAAAAATAATGCTTATCATTTTGCTATGTGTCTTAAAGTCACTCAAACATCATCAGTGATGATTTGTTGAATTTTGACAAACGATACATTTGTTGTTTTTATTAAAAGTTTATCTTGCCAAGGAGGGTACCTATTTTTGATACCCATTGTATCATTTTTGTTCTTTAAAATCCACCTGCTCATGTGTCAATAAAACAGGCATTGGTTGCCGTAAATTTCACATATTTCAGTGAATATTTCTTTGTGATACTTAATTAGCGAGTTTTACAGCAGTCATGTAGCGTTTAACTTGATTTCACTCTTGATTATTGATTCTTTACCATTCATTAAGAAATAAATAACAAGATTATTTAAACTTCAATGGGAATTAAAGTGGGTCGGTCACGTACCGACCCACTTCAATTTCCACTGAAGTTTTATAAACTTGTTATTTATTACTTATATATACATTTGGGACATACAATTGAATATTCTCGAATATAAATTATTGCACTAATCGTCCGTCGTAGATTTTCAAAGTGTAAATCGGCTTGAATGGCGGTTACGCTTCGAATTCATCAGGTTAAGGAATTTATTTCTAAGGGAATATTTTGTGAAAGACTACTTGTGATCAGTAATGGTAAATTCTCCTATTGTGTTTTGTTTTTATAGATTTTTGATCTTGAATACTGTTCGTTATCTTCATATGTTTCATTGAAATAAACTTCATTCCTTATAACTTAATTTCAGTGTAGACATTGAATCCATTTTTCCTCAGAATTAAGCTTCAAATTGAGCATGTTTTAAAAGTAGGCAACTGAAGTTGGTGACTTATATTAAACGAAATGGATGAAATATTTTACCCAGTCAAATGACGTGTTACAACTTTAATTGAAATATTGGAATCTATATATAAGTTCGTAGCACTTTTCACGAAGTATACATATAGTGTTGAAAAGAATTTTAAATTAGCCTTAGATTTTTAAGTAGTTTATGCATTTGCAATATTGAAATGTATAGATGACCGCAGTTCGGAGGTTAATGTGCTAAAATCAAGTGACTCTGACACCAGTTGACAAATCTAAATAAAAAATCTAATCGTCCTGAACATGTAGATATGAATCACATTAAATTTGTCTGATATCAGAAAAAAATCGCCCATCCTTGTAAAAAATTTATTTTTCCGAAAAATTCGCCAATGTTTCCATTTGTCACATTAACTGTTCCCCCTGGGAAAAAAAACGCAAAGTAGAATACAATAGATCGGCCAATATTTTCCTCAGATTAAACTTTTCTGAAACTTTGATATTTTGTTCTATGATAGAAAAATTCTCTTTATATCTAATATGAAAGAAATTCAACCGCACATTTTTTGCCCACATAATTTGAAATATGGCCTACATACCCTCGTAAAAAGATTGTGAAATCAGACGCTCGATTTTAGAATGAGTCTTTTTTTCAAAATTTTTCAATTTATCCATTGCAAACTTGTGTGATACTGTTTATTAAGACATCCCTCTGGCTACTTTCATTCAGTAAGTTATATTGATACTAGTAAATTTGAGTAACAAATGATGTGAAATAGTTTTCTTAAGAGAAAAAGTATAATTAAATTTTTACATTATTTGTAGGAGTTTCGAATCTCAGAAAAACTTAAAATTTTAAAGCCTTTTAATCTGGAGATCTTTCTCTTGTCTTATACAGATACGGAAGGTGGGGTCCATACCAGGTTGTTCAGGCAGCTATATGTTTCTTCAATATATGGCCAACAGGATTTCAGCTCCTGATAGGAGTTTTCATCGGTACATTTTCTGAATTTTATTAGTTCACCTTAGCTGAAAGCTCAAGTGAACTTTTCTGATCACCCGTTGTCCGTCGTCTGTCTGTCTGTCTGTCTGTCCGTCCGTCTGTAAACTTTTCACATTTTCAACTTCTTCTCAAGAACCACTGATCCAATTTTAACCAAACTTGGTACAAAGCATCCTTGGGTGATTGGGAGTTTGAATTGCTAAAACGAAAGGCCAAGTCCCTATTCCAGGGGAGATAATCAAGAAAAGACAAAAATAAGGTGGGGTCATCAAAAAATCTTCTTCTCAAGAATCACTGGGCCATAAAAGCTGAAACTTATGTGGAAGCATCCTAAGGTAGTGTTGATTCTAAATTTATTAAAATCAAGATTGGGAAGATGGTTATAGGGGCCACAATAGATATAAGGAGAGGGGAAATCTGGCAAAGAACTGCATCACCCAAAGTTACTCAGGTGAGCGATGTGGCCCATGGGCCTCTTGTTACTTTTCTGCTCTTCTTTCAAAGATTTATTCATGAGAGATCTAGTCTTTAGAATTAGCTTTGGTGCACTTGTGCTTACCGTTTGTATGTGTGCGTCGCGTATTTTGAAATTTTCTAGGAAAAGAAATTAACAAATATAAATTACAACAATGAAATCATTTTTTTCGGATCCCAAACTCGACTCTGAATTAACATTTTTAATCTTATTTATTCATGAGGTTGATGGATGTTTTTTTAAATCCTTGTTTTTGTCTTGTTAATATTTTTAGGTTACCGACCAGATTTTCAGTGTGCAGCCCCAGAGATAGACAACACGGATGTAAAAAACGATTCAATTTACATAACATACGACAAATGCCACATCAAAACATTTCTGAACAACACAAATCAAGGGAGCAATCACCTTATAAACCAGACTTCATGTATTCATGGATTTCGGTACAGTCTAGAAAAACACAGTACAATTGTGACAGAGGTAGTTTTTTTTTCTTAAGAGAAGGGAAAAGGATAAAAGATTAAACAAAATTAAATATCAAATTGAATTTCATTAAAATGATAGTATTTTACAACATTTATTACAGAAAAATGAATCCCTCTTTATTACCTACATGTATATTGCATTTCAATAAAATACAGGTGAGAATATTTCAAAGTAATCTGATTTATGTTCCTTAGTTCTCCCGTCAAACTACTGAGCTTGTTTTTGTAAATAATCAAATTTTTGTTTCGTTATTCAACAATATTTATTAAGTGACAAATTCAAAAACAATGGCAAGCGCTTGATACGACTCGTAATCGTAGGGCAGACCATTTTTAATATTAAAAACATGATGTTGCTTAAAAACACTGCATGTGGTCATTTCCTATCCCCTTTCTGCTATTTGCCATACTTTGATCTTGAGGTGCCTGTATAGAAGTCATGTATGCCTTAATACAGAAAAAAATACCAAGGGTTTATAAAAATTATTTCAACATTAAATAAGTATTTATTTACAAGCAACGCATCTAAGGAATCCTTGAGGGAAAAAGTTAACATTTGTGATTTTGTTCTTCTAATCCTTATCAGTTTAGAACTTTTTTGACATTATAAGTAGATGGTTTATTGTTTTTCACCATTATAGTGTATTTTAAAACAAGAAATGTTTGTAAAATACTTATACCCCTCCATCAAATATTTGGTTTTTTCTAAGTCCAAGGGACATAACTCTGTCAAAATGTCTTGATCAATGGCTGATGCCCAGAGCAGAACTTGACATAGATATCAGTATGATAAATCTGTATACTAGTAGTTACTAAATTTCATGTCAATATGTTCAACCTCTGAAAGGAAAATGAACGGAAGGTGTAAATACTTGGAATTTTTCCAACGGGCAAAATTATGCCCAAAATGGTCCGATCGTACCCAAAACATAATCTGACCTAGATTTTTAGGTCACCTGAGTAAACTCAGGTGACCTATTGCTGTCTGTTTGCGTCCGTCGTCGTCCGTCGTCAGTCGTGCGTTAACATTTGAACATTTTCAGCATCTATTTCTCTGCAACCACTCCTCCAATTTCAACCAAATTTGGCACAAAACCTCAATGGGTAAAGGGGAACAAAAATTGTGAATTTCATGATCCCTGCCCCCTGGGGCCTGAGGGGTGGGGCCAAAACCACTAAAATTAATGCAATCTTTAAAAATCTTCTTCTTTACTCCTGGACATCAAGCAGTCAAACTGTTTGCATGATTGTAATCAGCAATGAGTCCTCTACCAAAATTGTGAAATTCATGGCCCTGGGGTCAGGGGTTCTAGTGCTAGGGCGGGGCTAAATAAGTAGGTAGTGAAAATGCATTATTTCTTTGAAAATCTTCTTCTCTGCTCCTGGATATTAAATAAACCAACTAAGTACATAGTTATAATGAGCAAGAGTGCCTCTACCAAAATTGTGAATTTTATGGCCCCAGGGTCAGGGGTTCTGGTGTTAGGGCGGGGCACTATTGATTATATAGTGAAAATACATGAATTCTTTGAAAATCTTCTTCTCTGCTCCTGGGTATTAAATAAACTAACTAAGTGCATAGTTATGATGAGCAAGAGTGTCTCTACCAAAATTGTGAATTTTATGGCCCCAGGTTCAGGGGTTCTGGTGTTAGGGCGGGGCACTATTGATTATATAGTGAAAATACATGAATTCTTTGAAAATCTTCTTCTCTGCTCCTGGGTATTAAATAAACTAACTAAGTACATAGTTATGATGAGCAAGAGTGTCTCTACCAAAATTGCGAATTTTATGGCCCCAGGGTCAGGGGTTTTTGTTTTAGGGTGGGGCACTATTGATTATATAGTGAAATGCATGAATTCTTTGAACATCTTATTCTTTCCTCCTGGTTAATATACTAATTATCTAATTACATATTTAAGGCCAGGATTTATTTTATTTTCAGTTTTACAAACCCTCCGCTCAAGGTTTTGAATTTTCAGAAAAAAATAAAACAATTTTTTTTTCTTTCCAATATCAAATTTGAGTCGGGATCGAGATTTCAAATTTACGAACTCGCACTTCCGGTTTTAAGATGAAACGGCGGGTAAATAAAGCTAGATCTGAGAAGAAAGCTTGGTTTAGTGTAAAATTCATCGATACGAGTGCCATTCAAAACGTTTCACCCGTTCAAAGGACAAATAAAATGCTGACGACTTTGTTGCACAATGACATGGTGGTGAGATAATTTTGTTTTTGTTTCAAAAGTATCTGTCTGTAAATTATTTTCCTCCCCCAGGTTTTAAACTGCCTACTACCTAAACTGGTAGCTATTGCATATTGCCAGCGACATTGTTTAGGTCTCTGTTATAGCTTACAGTCTAAGTATCATTCTTCAGAAAAGGGTTGCTTATGCATCAGTAGATAGAATGTTCTATCATTAAAATGATATTGCCCTACGGACCCGGTTTAACGATAGATGTAATGAATAAAACTATGGGAGAAGTTAAGTCCATTTGAGGAAGAAATAAACAATAACCCGAAGAAACAAAAAAAAAATCAACTATTAAAAGGTAAGGATATACAAATATATACAGGCATGTAGTATCAGTTCATTTGTATCAGCCAGAAAAATTATTTTACACTTAATTGAAAAAATGTTCACCCTACTCCCCAATACTCCCTGTCTGTTTTATGATAGGAATTATAATTTTAGGCATCAATTAAATTTTAGAACAATGTCTACACATTCACCTAACACATATTAAAAAAATGAAGATATATTGAAAGACTTTTAAAGAATTGATTTTTTAAAATATATTTTGACCAACATCACAAAATTTATATAACTGGCCCAAACTGGCAGATGATGAAATAAGCAATTAAATGTTCTACTTTCCTATTTGTTTAAAGCATTATGTGTCCAGTGGTAAGGAGCCTATTTGAATAGCATAAAAAAAGAATGTACAAATGTTAATAATTGATTTATCAAAAAAAAAATTTTATTTCCTTCTCCTTCGGGACTTTTTTATTCTCACGTTCATAACTATACCTAAACATAAAAAAAATGCTGGCCTTATAATGAAGAAAGGGGCCTCTTTCAAAATAGATAATTTCAGGGCCGCTGGGTCAGGGGTACCAGGGGGGTACTTTGACTAAAAATAAATTAATGCTTTGAAATCTGCCCTTTGATAAGCAATGGTGCCTCCTTCAAATTTGTGAATTTCATGGCATTTGTATTAAAACACGAACCAAATACAATCGCTGGAAAGTTGTTACATGATACTCAGGTGACCTATAAGGCCCGTGGGCCTCTTGTCTTATGAACCTGTGTATAAAATACACAGGTTTATAAACCTGTGTATGAAATTTTACTTCAATATGTGCAACTTTTGAGAAGAAATTGATGGTGGACCGACAGACAGACGGAGCAATCGAGAGACAGGAGCAAAGCAATACGCGCTTCCTTTCTTCGAAAGGGGGCAAAAAATCAACTATGAATGCACAAAAATCTTCGTAAAAAATAAAATTTGCATATTCGGATAAAAATACAATTAAAAAGACTGTTTCTGTCAAACGCCGCGCGTTCATTACTTAAATGCTGATGTACATTTTTAAAAGAGAACGCGAACAGAATGCAAGTTAACGATTTCAGGTCTTATGACTTATGACGTCTATTTTGCAGATGGACCTTGTTTGCGATCGCGCTCCACTAGCCGAGCTTGTGCAAACTTTAGTCATGGCAGGACAATTAGCTGGGGCTGCCATAGCATCTTCGCTAGCAGACAAATTGGGAAGAAAGACAATTCTACTTTCCTCTCATCTTCTGACGATGGCGTTTGGTTTTGGGGTTGCCTTTTCACCCAATTACACAACCCTAGCGATTTTGAAATTCATTCTTGGTGTTTTGCAACAGGTAATTAATGGGGGTAAATCGGCAGGGATAAATTTGCTGAAGTTTTTAAAGAAAATTCAGTTCTGAAAATAAAAAAAAGAATTTAGTGAACTTATGAACGCTATGGAAATAATGAAAGGGTCGATTTTAAGAGGGTTTATACGGAAGCCTATTTAGGACCTATCAAAAATATTTTTGAATTCGTTAAAACGATTTTTAGAATTCGTTATAACGAATTTAATTTGTTATAACAGATTGAATTCGTTATAATGAATTCAATAAATCTGTAATAACAGATTAGATTCGTTATAACGAATTCAATGAATCTGTTATAACAAATTAAATTCGTTAAAACGAATTCAATGAATCTGTTATAACAAATTAAATTCGTTAAAACGAATTCAATGAATCTGTTATAAAAATTAAATTCGTTATAACGAATTCTAAAAATCGTTATAACGAATTCAAAAATATTTTTGATAGGTCCTAAATGGGCTTCCGTAGGTTTATAATAATCTTTAACTTTTTATAAACAATATCAAGAGCATGCAATTAACAATATGAATATTTTGCAAGTGTCAAAATTCATCTTTTTCCTTTAAATTAACAAAGGGAATGGTGATGCCCAATGCTGTATTAGGATTAGAATTGTGGCCGGAAAGAATCCGTTTCTACTGCGAGGCATTAGGTTTGTTTTTCTGGACAACAGGGTTGGTTATCATGGCTCCCATTGCTTATCTGTTGAGAGACCACAGTTGGAGATATCTTCAAATTGCTCTTACCTGCTTTTCTCTGTTTAGTCTGATTCAATATTGGTAAGAATGAATAGTAACGAAAATACTTATTCATACTAAAGATCATTTCTGTAACATACGTTAAAAAGTTGACTTTATTGTTTATGTAAGATGTCATATTTCTGAAAAATCACTTACCACCTAATGGTCGTAAAACCACTAAATTTATTCATATTTTTATTTAGCATTTTTGTGATACAACAGTCTAACTTTCCTAGAAAAACAATTAAGATCGATTATTTAAGGGACATACATGTATCACTAAAAGATTTTTAAACTACCAGTAGTTACATATATCATGAGTTGTCTGCAATAATTGTTTTAAAATACTTATGATGTAGTAATTTATGCCTGGAGAATTTTTCGTAACTTAATTAAGAGTAAGATTTTCCCGAAACAATCTGCAGATTGAATTTGGTTTGTATATACTCAAAGGTAAATTCTATTCCCTATCCCATGTTATTTTTCATGTTTGAAGCTTGGTTGATTGATCATCTTTTCAAAGATCTCAATAGCCTTTAACAAATCATAAACCTACAGGGTTCAAGATGAATCTTTAAGATGGCTTGTCGCAAATGGGAAAAAGAAGGAGGCTGATAGAGTGATACGAAAAGTGGCAAAATGGAATAAAATCAGTTATGAAGAGCTGAGTAAGATGGTGGAGAGAAAAATGGCGCAAACCAAAACTATTCCTGAGCAACAGACTGATGATGAGAAAACGGATGAAGAAAGCCATGAATCCGATTCGCCTTTGATTGAAAAATACTCAATCATTACAATTTTGCGGAATAAAACCATTCTCGCAATATCGCTGATTATGTGGTTTACATGGCAAGTTTCTACTATTTACCTTTGTTTGATTTGTAAGGGTGTAAGATGTGAGGGATGGTGAGGGTGTGTATTTGTGTGTTTAGCGTTTAGGATTTTATAAATGAATACCTATCTTTAAGCGATTCGTCATTCACAAGTTCATGAAATAGACATGGGAAATGCAATGACTTTTAAGTGCACATGCATTATTCATTATTAAACATCAAATGTTTTGACGTTATAGGGTTACCAACACCGTAACCTATTTTGGATTAACTTTGACGTCGACAAGGCTAGCGGGGGATCGTTATCTGAATTTCTTCTTATCCTCCTTTGTGGAATATATTGCTGTTATTCTTGAGTATATCATGCTTCGTTGGTAAGTTTATAGACACTTTGTTAATCGTCATCTAAACACCAATTTCTTGTTAAAACTATTTATTTTCTTAGCGTCTTAATTATGTTCCCCAAACGGAGTTTGGGAACATATTGTTTTTACTCGGTTTCTTATTATGTTCCCCAAACGAAGTTGGGGAACATATTGTTTTTACTCTGTTTCTTATTATGTTCCCCAAACGAAGTTGGGGAACATATTGTTTTTACTCTGTTTCTTATTATTATGTTCCCCAAACGAAGTTGGGGAACATATTGTTTTTACTCTGTTTCTTATTATTATTATGTTCCCCAAACGAAGTTGGGGAACATATTGTTTTTACTCTGTTTCTTATTATGTTCCCCAAACGAAGTTGGGGAACATATTGTTTTTACTCTGTTTCTTATTATTATTATTTTTCTTCTTCTTCCTGGGTACTTTTTTGTCCAGGAATGATCTTGTAAACTGTTCATCCGATGTAGGTAAAACCTTTTTAGGGTTAGTAGACATGTTATGTAGATTTGCCTAGTCAAGGTCATTTTGCGCGCACGTGCTTGCAAGAGCGCGCACGTGCAACACGAGAAATGATCAATATAATTGATGTAGACTTACTTTCTCAATTTTTGATGAAATGCGTTGAAACTCATATTGTAATGATATATTAGTAGCATAGACAAGATGACATGGTCAAAATAGCAAGATCTCACGCGCATGCACGTGCGCTTTGCTCTGATTGGCTGAAACTAAAGTCTCAATATCTTTCTTGTTTTTTGACGAAATCCTTTGAAATTTTGAACAAAGTCATGTATTACGATATCTTACAACATGATATATAGCAATTATCATGAGAACACGTGTATGCACGTGCACTGCAATCTGATTGGCTGAAACTTTAAATAGCTATAACTCCCTCGGTTTTCAACCAAACAGGATGGGATTTGGAACATAGATAAATATAATGGACTTCTACAAGAAGGTATGGTCAACATGCACATGCATACACGTGCGTGTACGTGCGCTGCAATCTGATTGGCTGAAACTTTAAACAGCTTTAACTCCCTTGGTTTTCAACCAAACAGGATTGGATTTGGAGCATAGAGATATATAATGGACTTCTACAAGAAGGCATGATCACCATGCACATGCATGCATGCATGTGCGTGTATGTGCGCTGTAATCTGATTGGCTGAAACTTTAAACAGCTATAACTCCCTTGGTTTTGAACCAAACGGGGTGAGATTTAGAACATAGATAGATGTAATGGACTTATACAAGAAGGTATGGTCACCATGCTCATGTATGCACTTGCGTGCACGTGAAATGGGTAAAATTAAAAATACACTTGAATGAGCGTTTTTTTTTAATACTTTTGGATTTAGTACTTTAATATTAAGCATATTAAAATATATAGATTGTGTAGACAATATGATATGGTCATTACGCACATGCATTCACATGCGCAAGTGTGCAATGATAAAA